TATTCTCTATATTTTATTATATACTATCAATATAAGGCATATACTATTCTACAAAAGACAAAATTTCGGGAACACTCTCATGTAACAGTAACTCCTATTTATTGTCTTTTTATGGTTCCAGATTTGCTCCAAAGTCCGACTGTGTTTCCCCACTAGTCCAGACCAGAGACTACGTCCCGACCCCTCCCTGTCCCGCCCCAGGAACCTGGGCCAACACCTTCAGCTTCGACGACTACAGCACAAAAGTGTGGGCAACGGACATGTTCCATCAACAGCGGCTCCAGGTGCAGACTGCGTTGATCCAAAGAGAGATCCTGATGTCGACCCCTGGTATCAACCCCTACCCGAGTTGTACTTACACCCCACGAGCCTCCACACCCATTACTCCATACGGGGTCTACGACAACCTCGCCCATAGCATCATGAAGGAAGAGTGCGACACCGGCTACTTCAGCTCGTCCGACATCTCCAGAGTGACTCCAGATGGCGACATCGCCGACGACGTCCTTGACAGCAGGCCGGATTCACCCAGCAGTGACATGTCAGAGAAACGACCTGTTGAAAACACCGTGTTCGCCACACCAGTCATACCCGATTACAAACCAGAATTCACCAGCTTGCCGATCATACCACAGATTGTCCCAGAGATCTTCAAGGTCAACCCAGAGGTCAACCATGAGGTCCACACTAGTTCAAACCACAAACACAAAAATGCAAGTCTCCAAACCTCAGATCCTTCTTCCTACACTCTCGAGTCTCTACCCAAGAAGAAGCCTCACCAAGAACCGGGCAACTACGAGTGTCTGACTTGTGGGAAAGTGTTTGCATGGAAGACTGGTCTTGTGACCCACAAGCGTGTACATACCGGTGAACGACCCTACAAGTGCCCAGTCTGTCCTAAAGCCTTCAGCGACTACTCCACATGCAGCAAGCACTGCCGCATCCACTCCGGCCACAAGCCCTACAGTTGCGACGTCTGTGGCAAAGCCTTCACTCAGTCAGGTAACAGACTGAGGCATATGAGGACTGTACACGAGGTTACTCTGTAAACCTTCGCTCTGTAAATCACCAGTGCTATCTGTTTCTACTGTATACTACGAGTGCTACAAATGTCATGTTGAGATAAGTGCTGCCCATGTGATAATGAGCTCATCTGAATATGCATAATGACATGATGCGAGAATATGACGTTCAATGTTTTCGTCATTGTTATACCGTGTTTAAACGTGTTGTAAAGGTGCTGTTCATGTTTACATCAAACAATGTGTTGTATTGATAATGTGTTGAATATATTGAATTAAACATTGAATGCTGAATATAATCCGTTTTCCTTGTATATACAGCTTGGCCACCAAAGTTGTCATTCATACATAATGAAGAAACATCTAAGCCGTCGAAGGCGAGAACTCCCATGTGCACCATAGTCACCGGAAATGGATTTCACACATAAAACAGCAGAATATATATACATCACCAGCACAACAATCTCCACACGTGCTTGTAGTGCTGTTGTCGCTGACAGTGTCAATGTCACGCAAGAGGAGTTGCTTCTGTGTCAAGAAAATTCGATCTTATATCCGCTCATCCATATAATTGATACTTTACTCTTGGTCCCGTAAAAGAACACATGCTATTTTTGATAACAAGTACAATGGCCACAGTACAAATAATCTGGAATCCTTGATATGTACACTCCATGAAGTAAATAGATGTCTGCTTCTCCATTAATATGTCTGGAAGCAGGGAATTCTTCCGTTGCACGTTGTCCAAAAACATGTTGTCCAGCACTCAAACCATACATCACCAGTACATTCAGATTTACCTATACCACCCTGTCGTATCTGAAAAAAAGTATTTAATACAATAATGGATTCTTACTTTACAAAAGTTTCGAGACTATCGTTCCAATTCACAAGAAAGGTTCAGTGACAGGTGTTACGCTCACCAGCATATGATGTTTATCCTCCATACGCTTATAGATAGGTATGTTCAACGTAAACTTGGAAAATTGTAGGCTACATTTGTAGACCGTAGAGGCAAGTTGTGGTATCTATTTAATTCACATGGTGTCAGTAATAAAATTGGCAAATTGTTATGTTGTGTGTATAAGTAAGTTAAGTCGTGTGTCAAACAAGACGACACGTCTTCAGATTCTTTTATCTGGCTCACTGGTGTATTAAGGATGTGTATTAAGACCCTTTTCTGTTTTGTTTATTAATGAGATTGCAGCTCAAATCAAAAGAAATTATGATGATGGTACACAATTCATGTTCTCAAGTACAGTAAAAGGTTTACAAACATTAACAAATGAGCCAGAATTGTACAGTGATACGTGGAAACTAATGTCAATTTGGATAAGGCAAAACATTGTTGTATTTAGCAAATGAAATACGCTGCCAAAGAATGGAAAGTGGTACTTTTGGGGGCATTTACTTCAAACTGAAACCTTTTATAAATATCTTGGTGTAATATTTTCAAGTAAATAATCATAGAGCCCACATATGTGTAATGCAGCCATCCAAGCTAAAAAGATGTTATTTTCTCTCACGGTTCGGAAATATGGGGCTTTGCAGAGGCAAAGAAATTGAATCCGTACATTTTTCGTGTGTAAAAGATTACTTGGTGTTCATCATAGTATTTTGACATGTACTTTCAAACATGGAGATCTACTGTAGATGTTTCTAGCAAATGAGAATATTATAGAGATTTTAAAATACAACTATTTCGCAGAAATGTCTTTAAGTGATGTAAATGTAAGAAAATTATCTTTAGCACAATTTAGATGCAGCTCACACAGGTTAAAAGTTGACAGTCACAAAAAATACCAAATGTTTAAGATTATGTAAACAATGTTCCTTGCTTGTATGTTGTAAATATGACAATTTAAGAGGAAAAATATTGAACAAAAATACTGTGTACATACAAATAAATACAAGTTTATCCCTTTAATGTCACATGTGAGCAAAACGACTATACGAACTCTGTCTCTATTTATATATTATGCCATGTTATTAAGAAATGAATCCTTGTAACATTTGTAACCGCTTCCACATTGTCATGTTTTGTATGCTATGTTCCCGTGGCCTTACAGTTATATGTAAATGTTAATATATAAATAAACTGAATAATAGTACCTATCGCTTTCTATCAGCCCCATCTTAGTTAATCAGAACAACATTGAATGCAATCGCATATGACCAATATAATACGCCGTGGACAATCTCGATATATTTTTTTGCAGTCAGCGTTTGTACACTGAGTCAAGCAAATTCGGACATATATCTACGCACCAATGAATTGGTTATTTTACTGTTGGGCCTGTTACTAACACGTACACATATATTTCATGACGATGACAACAGTATACATAATCTGGAATCGGTGACAGGAACACTGTATGAAGATACGGTTAGGTCTTCATCTCCGGCTGGAAGCCACGGAATATCTCGTGTGATGCCAAACAGATATACAATGATATCCGTAAGATTTAAAATGAAATCCTTGCATTTTTTAAAATATACATTAACGAGATGACACACAATCAACCAAGTCTCCGATCCCGACCACCCGATCCACTTAGTCGCCTCTTACGGCAGACATAGGATAATTAGGGCCGATTCGAATCCCAGAATTCCCACTGGGTTGAAAGGAAAGACCAGGGCGGTTTCAAGAGACACTGATTGGTTGATGTATGCGACGAGACGTGTGACGCGTGAACTTGCTTCATTGACAGGAAAAACTGATTTGTTGATTTATGCGACAATTAGACCGGATACTCAGAAACCGCAGACACTGACTGGTTGATTTCGATGATAAGCTGAACACAAACTCACTTTACACAGACACTGATTGGTTGACGTCCGCGACAGTTAGAGCCGACACTCAGAAGCCGGAGACACTGATTGGTTGATTTCGATGACGAGTAGAACACTGACACTGGCTGCATAAATACTAACTATAGTTATTTGCTACAACCAAACGTGGCCCAGTAAGTAAATATAAGCACGTAGAGCAGCCGACAGTTAACTTTGAAAGGAAATCTGGGCTTTATATGCCTGCTTGAAACAGTGGTCAACACTCCGGTTCGCAGCCTACATTGAGACATAAGGATAGATTTAGATACAGAATAAGACGTTCGTACTGAAACAAAATTCACGCTAAATACCCGTTACGTATTTGAAGATGGCAACCCAATTTCAAGATGGTAAGTAAAAAATAAATAACTTTTCTTGAGTAGGGGCTTCTTTTGACATGTTGAACTACATGTATAAACAATATTTTGGTTCACAACCTAAGAACTGCAAATTGATTAATGAATTTCCCTGTCTGATTCCATTATAAAACCGTATAATAGATTATTAATGATATATTTTGTTACATGACTCGAATTACATTGGTAATAGGCAGAAAAAAATATTTCGGGTAGACAAAACTTCATAAGAAAATTGCAAGTTGAAAAATAACTAATGTTATATGTACTTTGTATTTCTAGGCAGCAGCAACAATCGCTACCGCTCAAAGTGTCCAGGCCCCCTGTCCCTACAGCCCACACAGCGTTTCCAGCCCTACCAGAGACCCTCTCACTCACTCAGGTAAGTTGCATTGGCCATGAATGAAATTTATTCCGATTATATTCTCTATATTTTATTATATACTATCAATATAAGGCATATACTATTCTACAAAAGACAAAATTTCGGGAACACTCTCATGTAACAGTAACTCCTATTTATTGTCTTTTTATGGTTCCAGATTTGCTCCAAAGTCCGACTGTGTTTCCCCACTAGTCCAGACCAGAGACTACGTCCCGACCCCTCCCTGTCCCGCCCCAGGAACCTGGGCCAACACCTTCAGCTTCGACGACTACAGCACAAAAGTGTGGGCAACGGACATGTTCCATCAACAGCGGCTCCAGGTGCAGACTGCGTTGATCCAAAGAGAGATCCTGATGTCGACCCCTGGTATCAACCCCTACCCGAGTTGTACTTACACCCCACGAGCCTCCACACCCATTACTCCATACGGGGTCTACGACAACCTCGCCCATAGCATCATGAAGGAAGAGTGCGACACCGGCTACTTCAGCTCGTCCGACATCTCCAGAGTGACTCCAGATGGCGACATCGCCGACGACGTCCTTGACAGCAGGCCGGATTCACCCAGCAGTGACATGTCAGAGAAACGACCTGTTGAAAACACCGTGTTCGCCACACCAGTCATACCCGATTACAAACCAGAATTCACCAGCTTGCCGATCATACCACAGATTGTCCCAGAGATCTTCAAGGTCAACCCAGAGGTCAACCATGAGGTCCACACTAGTTCAAACCACAAACACAAAAATGCAAGTCTCCAAACCTCAGATCCTTCTTCCTACACTCTCGAGTCTCTACCCAAGAAGAAGCCTCACCAAGAACCGGGCAACTACGAGTGTCTGACTTGTGGGAAAGTGTTTGCATGGAAGACTGGTCTTGTGACCCACAAGCGTGTACATACCGGTGAACGACCCTACAAGTGCCCAGTCTGTCCTAAAGCCTTCAGCGACTACTCCACATGCAGCAAGCACTGCCGCATCCACTCCGGCCACAAGCCCTACAGTTGCGACGTCTGTGGCAAAGCCTTCACTCAGTCAGGTAACAGACTGAGGCATATGAGGACTGTACACGAGGTTACTCTGTAAACCTTCGCTCTGTAAATCACCAGTGCTATCTGTTTCTACTGTATACTACGAGTGCTACAAATGTCATGTTGAGATAAGTGCTGCCCATGTGATAATGAGCTCATCTGAATATGCATAATGACATGATGCGAGAATATGACGTTCAATGTTTTCGTCATTGTTATACCGTGTTTAAACGTGTTGTAAAGGTGCTGTTCATGTTTACATCAAACAATGTGTTGTATTGATAATGTGTTGAATATATTGAATTAAACATTGAATGCTGAATATAATCCGTTTTCCTTGTATATACAGCTTGGCCACCAAAGTTGTCATTCATACATAATGAAGAAACATCTAAGCCGTCGAAGGCGAGAACTCCCATGTGCACCATAGTCACCGGAAATGGATTTCACACATAAAACAGCAGAATATATATACATCACCAGCACAACAATCTCCACACGTGCTTGTAGTGCTGTTGTCGCTGACAGTGTCAATGTCACGCAAGAGGAGTTGCTTCTGTGTCAAGAAAATTCGATCTTATATCCGCTCATCCATATAATTGATACTTTACTCTTGGTCCCGTAAAAGAACACATGCTATTTTTGATAACAAGTACAATGGCCACAGTACAAATAATCTGGAATCCTTGATATGTACACTCCATGAAGTAAATAGATGTCTGCTTCTCCATTAATATGTCTGGAAGCAGGGAATTCTTCCGTTGCACGTTGTCCAAAAACATGTTGTCCAGCACTCAAACCATACATCACCAGTACATTCAGATTTACCTATACCACCCTGTCGTATCTGAAAAAAAGTATTTAATACAATAATGGATTCTTACTTTACAAAAGTTTCGAGACTATCGTTCCAATTCACAAGAAAGGTTCAGTGACAGGTGTTACGCTCACCAGCATATGATGTTTATCCTCCATACGCTTATAGATAGGTATGTTCAACGTAAACTTGGAAAATTGTAGGCTACATTTGTAGACCGTAGAGGCAAGTTGTGGTATCTATTTAATTCACATGGTGTCAGTAATAAAATTGGCAAATTGTTATGTTGTGTGTATAAGTAAGTTAAGTCGTGTGTCAAACAAGACGACACGTCTTCAGATTCTTTTATCTGGCTCACTGGTGTATTAAGGATGTGTATTAAGACCCTTTTCTGTTTTGTTTATTAATGAGATTGCAGCTCAAATCAAAATAAATTATGATGATGGTACACAATTCATGTTCTCAAGTACAGTAAAAGGTTTACAAACATTAACAAATGAGCCAGAATTGTACAGTGATACGTGGAAACTAATGTCAATTTGGATAAGGCAAAACATTGTTGTATTTAGCAAATGAAATACGCTGCCAAAGAATGGAAAGTGGTACTTTTGGGGGCATTTACTTCAAACTGAAACCTTTTATAAATATCTTGGTGTAATATTTTCAAGTAAATAATCATAGAGCCCACATATGTGTAATGCAGCCATCCAAGCTAAAAAGATGTTATTTTCTCTCACGGTTCGGAAATATGGGGCTTTGCAGAGGCAAAGAAATTGAATCCGTACATTTTTCGTGTGTAAAAGATTACTTGGTGTTCATCATAGTATTTTGACATGTACTTTCAAACATGGAGATCTACTGTAGATGTTTCTAGCAAATGAGAATATTATAGAGATTTTAAAATACAACTATTTCGCAGAAATGTCTTTAAGTGATGTAAATGTAAGAAAATTATCTTTAGCACAATTTAGATGCAGCTCACACAGGTTAAAAGTTGACAGTCACAAAAAATACCAAATGTTTAAGATTATGTAAACAATGTTCCTTGCTTGTATGTTGTAAATATGACAATTTAAGAGGAAAAATATTGAACAAAAATACTGTGTACATACAAATAAATACAAGTTTATCCCTTTAATGTCACATGTGAGCAAAACGACTATACGAACTCTGTCTCTATTTATATATTATGCCATGTTATTAAGAAATGAATCCTTGTAACATTTGTAACCGCTTCCACATTGTCATGTTTTGTATGCTATGTTCCCGTGGCCTTACAGTTATATGTAAATGTTAATATATAAATAAACTGAATAATAGTACCTATCGCTTTCTATCAGCCCCATCTTAGTTAATCAGAACAACATTGAATGCAATCGCATATGACCAATATAATACGCCGTGGACAATCTCGATATTTTTTTTTGCAGTCAGCGTTTGTACACTGAGTCAAGCAAATTCGGACATATATCTACGCACCAATGAATTGGTTATTTTACTGTTGGGCCTGTTACTAACACGTACACATATATTTCATGACGATGACGACAGTATACATAATCTGGAATCGGTGACAGGAACACTGTATGAAGATACGGTTAGGTCTTCATCTCCAGGTGGAAGCCACGGAATATCTCGTGTGATGCCAAACAGATATACAATGATATCCGTAAGATTTAAAATGAAATCCTTGCATTTTTTTAAATATACATTAACGAGATGACACACAATCAACCAAGTCTCCGATCCCGACCACCCGATCCACTTAGTCGCCTCTTACGGCAGACATAGGATAATTAGGGCCGATTCGAATCCCAGAATTCCCACTGGGTTGAAAGGAAAGACCAGGGCGGTTTCAAGAGACACTGATTGGTTGATTTATGCGACGAGACGTGTGACGCGTGAACTTGCTTCATTGACAGGAAAAACTGATTTGTTGATTTATGCGACAATTAGACCGGATACTCAGAAACCGCAGACACTGACTGGTTGATTTCGATGATAAGCTGAACACAAACTCACTTTACACAGACACTGATTGGTTGACTTCCGCGACAGTTAGAGCCGACACTCAGAAGCCGGAGACACTGATTGGTTGATTTCGATGACGAGTAGAACACTGACACTGGCTGCATAAATACTTACTATAGTTATTTGCTACAACCAAACGTGGCCCAGTAAGTAAATATAAGCACGTAGAGCAGCCGACAGTTAACTTTGAAAGGAAATCTGGGCTTTATATGCCTGCTTGAAACAGTGGTCAACACTCCAGTTCGCAGCCTACATTGAGACATAAGGATAGATTTAGATACAGAATAAGACGTTCGTACTGAAACAAAATTCACGCTAAATACCCGTTACGTATTTGAAGATGGCAACCCAATTTCAAGATGGCAAGTAAAAAATAAATAACTTTTCTTGAGTAGGGGCTTCTTTTGACATGTTGAACTACATGTATAAACAATATTTTGGTTCACAACCTAAGAACTGCAAATTGATTAATGAATTTCCCTGTCTGATTCCATTATAAAACCGTATAATAGATTATTAATGATATATTTTGTTACATGACTCGAATTACATTGGTAATTGGCAGAAAAAAATATTTCGGGTAGACAAAACTTCATAAGAAAATTGCAAGTTGAAAAATAACTAATGTTATATGTACTTTGTATTTCTAGGCAGCAGCAACAATCGCTACCGCTCAAAGTGTCCAGGCCCCCTGTCCCTACAGCCCACACAGCGTTTCCAGCCCTACCAGAGACCCTCTCACTCACTCAGGTAAGTTGCATTGGCCATGAATGAAATTTATTCCGATTATATTCTCTATATTTTATTATATACTATCAATATAAGGCATATACTATTCTCCAAAAGACAAAATTTCGGGAACACTCTCATGTAACAGTAACTCCTATTTATTGTCTTTTTATGGTTCCAGATTTGCTCCAAAGTCCGACTGTGTTTCCCCACTAGTCCAGACCAGAGACTACGTCCCGACCCCTCCCTGTCCCGCCCCAGGAACCTGGGCCAACACCTTCAGCTTCGACGACTACAGCACAAAAGTGTGGGCAACGGACATGTTCCATCAACAGCGGCTCCAGGTGCAGACTGCGTTGATCCAAAGAGAGATCCTGATGTCGACCCCTGGTATCAACCCCTACCCGAGTTGTACTTACACCCCACGAGCCTCCACACCCATTACTCCATACGGGGTCTACGACAACCTCGCCCATAGCATCATGAAGGAAGAGTGCGACACCGGCTACTTCAGCTCGTCCGACATCTCCAGAGTGACTCCAGATGGCGACATCGCCGACGACGTCCTTGACAGCAGGCCGGATTCACCCAGCAGTGACATGTCAGAGAAACGACCTGTTGAAAACACCGTGTTCGCCACACCAGTCATACCCGATTACAAACCAGAATTCACCAGCTTGCCGATCATACCACAGATTGTCCCAGAGATCTTCAAGGTCAACCCAGAGGTCAACCATGAGGTCCACACTAGTTCAAACCACAAACACAAAAATGCAAGTCTCCAAACCTCAGATCCTTCTTCCTACACTCTCGAGTCTCTACCCAAGAAGAAGCCTCACCAAGAACCGGGCAACTACGAGTGTCTGACTTGTGGGAAAGTGTTTGCATGGAAGACTGGTCTTGTGACCCACAAGCGTGTACATACCGGTGAACGACCCTACAAGTGCCCAGTCTGTCCTAAAGCCTTCAGCGACTACTCCACATGCAGCAAGCACTGCCGCATCCACTCCGGCCACAAGCCCTACAGTTGCGACGTCTGTGGCAAAGCCTTCACTCAGTCAGGTAACAGACTGAGGCATATGAGGACTGTACACGAGGTTACTCTGTAAACCTTCGCTCTGTAAATCACCAGTGCTATCTGTTTCTACTGTATACTACGAGTGCTACAAATGTCATGTTGAGATAAGTGCTGCCCATGTGATAATGAGCTCATCTGAATATGCATAATGACATGATGCGAGAATATGACGTTCAATGTTTTCGTCATTGTTATACCGTGTTTAAACGTGTTGTAAAGGTGCTGTTCATGTTTACATCAAACAATGTGTTGTATTGATAATGTGTTGAATATATTGAATTAAACATTGAATGCTGAATGTAATCCGTTTTCCTTGTATATACAGCTTGGCCACCAAAGTTGTCATTCATACATAATGAAGAAACATCTAAGCCGTCGAAGGCGAGAACTCCCATGTGCACCATAGTCACCGGAAATGGATTTCACACATAAAACAGCAGAATATATATACATCACCAGCACAACAATCTCCACACGTGCTTGTAGTGCTGTTGTCGCTGACAGTGTCAATGTCACGCAAGAGGAGTTGCTTCTGTGTCAAGAAAATTCGATCTTATATCCGCTCATCCATATAATTGATACTTTACTCTTGGTCCCGTAAAAGAACACATGCTATTTTTGATAACAAGTACAATGGCCACAGTACAAATAATCTGGAATCCTTGATATGTACACTCCATGAAGTAAATAGATGTCTGCTTCTCCATTAATATGTCTGGAAGCAGGGAATTCTTCCGTTGCACGTTGTCCAAAAACATGTTGTCCAGCACTCAAACCATACATCACCAGTACATTCAGATTTACCTATACCACCCTGTCGTATCTGAAAAAAAGTATTTAATACAATAATGGATTCTTACTTTACAAAAGTTTCGAGACTATCGTTCCAATTCACAAGAAAGGTTCAGTGACAGGTGTTACGCTCACCAGCATATGATGTTTATCCTCCATACGCTTATAGATAGGTATGTTCAACGTAAACTTGGAAAATTGTAGGCTACATTTGTAGACCGTAGAGGCAAGTTGTGGTATCTATTTAATTCACATGGTGTCAGTAATAAAATTGGCAAATTGTTATGTTGTGTGTATAAGTAAGTTAAGTCGTGTGTCAAACAAGACGACACGTCTTCAGATTCTTTTATCTGGCTCACTGGTGTATTAAGGATGTGTATTAAGACCCTTTTCTGTTTTGTTTATTAATGAGATTGCAGCTCAAATCAAAATAAATTATGATGATGGTACACAATTCATGTTCTCAAGTACAGTAAAAGGTTTACAAACATTAACAAATGAGCCAGAATTGTACAGTGATACGTGGAAACTAATGTCAATTTGGATAAGGCAAAACATTGTTGTATTTAGCAAAGGAAATACGCTGCCAAAGAATGGAAAGTGGTACTTTTGGGGGCATTTACTTCAAACTGAAACCTTTTATAAATATCTTGGTGTAATATTTTCAAGTAAATAATCATAGAGCCCACATATGTGTAATGCAGCCATCCAAGCTAAAAAGATGTTATTTTCTCTCACGGTTCGGAAATATGGGGCTTTGCAGAGGCAAAGAAATTGAATCCGTACATTTTTCGTGTGTAAAAGATTACTTGGTGTTCATCATAGTATTTTGACATGTACTTTCAAACATGGAGATCTACTGTAGATGTTTCTAGCAAATGAGAATATTATAGAGATTTTAAAATACAACTATTTCGCAGAAATGTCTTTAAGTGATGTAAATGTAAGAAAATTATCTTTAGCACAATTTAGATGCAGCTCACACAGGTTAAAAGTTGACAGTCACAAAAAATACCAAATGTTTAAGATTATGTAAACAATGTTCCTTGCTTGTATGTTGTAAATATGACAATTTAAGGGGAAAAATATTGAACAAAAATACTGTGTACATACAAATAAATACAAGTTTATCCCTTTAATGTCACATGTGAGCAAAACGACTATACGAACTCTGTCTCTATTTATATATTATGCCATGTTATTAAGAAATGAATCCTTGTAACATTTGTAACCGCTTCCACATTGTCATGTTTTGTATGCTATGTTCCCGTGGCCTTACAGTTATATGTAAATGTTAATATATAAATAAACTGAATAATAGTACCTATCGCTTTCTATCAGCCCCATCTTAGTTAATCAGAACAACATTGAATGCAATCGCCTATGACCAATATAATACGCCGTGGACAATCTCGATATTTTTTTTTGCAGTCAGCGTTTGTACACTGAGTCAAGCAAATTCGGACATATATCTACGCACCAATGAATTGGTTATTTTACTGTTGGGCCTGTTACTAACACGTACACATATATTTCATGACGATGACGACAGTATACATAATCTGGAATCGGTGACAGGAACACTGTATGAAGATACGGTTAGGTCTTCATCTCCAGGTGGAAGCCACGGAATATCTCGTGTGATGCCAAACAGATATACAATGATATCCGTAAGATTTAAAATGAAATCCTTGCATTTTTTTAAATATACATTAACGAGATGACACACAATCAACCAAGTCTCCGATCCCGACCACCCGATCCACTTAGTCGCCTCTTACGGCAGACATAGGATAATTAGGGCCGATTCGAATCCCAGAATTCCCACTGGGTTGAAAGGAAAGACCAGGGCGGTTTCAAGAGACACTGATTGGTTGATTTATGCGACGAGACGTGTGACGCGTGAACTTGCTTCATTGACAGGAAAAACTGATTTGTTGATTTATGCGACAATTAGACCGGATACTCAGAAACCGCAGACACTGACTGGTTGATTTCGATGATAAGCTGAACACAAACTCACTTTACACAGACACTGATTGGTTGACTTCCGCGACAGTTAGAGCCGACACTCAGAAGCCGGAGACACTGATTGGTTGATTTCGATGACGAGTAGAACACTGACACTGGCTGCATAAATACTTACTATAGTTATTTGCTACAACCAAACGTGGCCCAGTAAGTAAATATAAGCACGTAGAGCAGCCGACAGTTAACTTTGAAAGGAAATCTGGGCTTTATATGCCTGCTTGAAACAGTGGTCAACACTCCAGTTCGCAGCCTACATTGAGACATAAGGATAGATTTAGATACAGAATAAGACGTTCGTACTGAAACAAAATTCACGCTAAATACCCGTTACGTATTTGAAGATGGCAACCCAATTTCAAGATGGCAAGTAAAAAATAAATAACTTTTCTTGAGTAGGGGCTTCTTTTGACATGTTGAACTACATGTATAAACAATATTTTGGTTCACAACCTAAGAACTGCAAATTGATTAATGAATTTCCCTGTCTGATTCCATTATAAAACCGTATAATAGATTATTAATGATATATTTTGTTACATGACTCGAATTACATTGGTAATTGGCAGAAAAAAATATTTCGGGTAGACAAAACTTCATAAGAAAATTGCAAGTTGAAAAATAACTAATGTTATATGTACTTTGTATTTCTAGGCAGCAGCAACAATCGCTACCGCTCAAAGTGTCCAGGCCCCCTGTCCCTACAGCCCACACAGCGTTTCCAGCCCTACCAGAGACCCTCTCACTCACTCAGGTAAGTTGCATTGGCCATGAATGAAATTTATTCCGATTATATTCTCTATATTTTATTATATACTATCAATATAAGGCATATACTATTCTCCAAAAGACAAAATTTCGGGAACACGCTCATGTAACAGTAACTCCTATTTATTGTCTTTTTATGGTTCCAGATTTGCTCCAAAGTCCGACTGTGTTTCCCCACTAGTCCAGACCAGAGACTACGTCCCGACCCCTCCCTGTCCCGCCCCAGGAACCTGGGCCAACACCTTCAGCTTCGACGACTACAGCACAAAAGTGTGGGCAACGGACATGTTCCATCAACAGCGGCTCCAGGTGCAGACTGCGTTGATCCAAAGAGAGATCCTGATGTCGACCCCTGGTATCAACCCCTACCCGAGTTGTACTTACACCCCACGAGCCTCCACACCCATTACTCCATACGGGGTCTACGACAACCTCGCCCATAGCATCATGAAGGAAGAGTGCGACACCGGCTACTTCAGCTCGTCCGACATCTCCAGAGTGACTCCAGATGGCGACATCGCCGACGACGTCCTTGACAGCAGGCCGGATTCACCCAGCAGTGACATGTCAGAGAAACGACCTGTTGAAAACACCGTGTTCGCCACACCAGTCATACCCGATTACAAACCAGAATTCACCAGCTTGCCGATCATACCACAGATTGTCCCAGAGATCTTCAAGGTCAACCCAGAGGTCAACCATGAGGTCCACACTAGTTCAAACCACAAACACAAAAATGCAAGTCTCCAAACCTCAGATCCTTCTTCCTACACTCTCGAGTCTCTACCCAAGAAGAAGCCTCACCAAGAACCGGGCAACTACGAGTGTCTGACTTGTGGGAAAGTGTTTGCATGGAAGACTGGTCTTGTGACCCACAAGCGTGTACATACCGGTGAACGACCCTACAAGTGCCCAGTCTGTCCTAAAGCCTTCAGCGACTACTCCACATACAGCAAGCACTGCCGCATCCACTCCGGCCACAAGCCCTACAGTTGCGACGTCTGTGGCAAAGCCTTCACTCAGTCAGGTAACAGACTGAGGCATATGAGGACTGTACACAAGGTTACTCTGTAAACCTTCGCTCTGTAAATCACCAGTGCTATCTGTTTCTACTGTATACTACGAGTGCTACAAATGTCATGTTGAGATAAGTGCTGCCCATGTGATAATGAGCTCATCTGAATATGCATAATGACATGATGCGAGAATATGACGTTCAATGTTTTCGTCATTGTTATACTGTGTTTAAACGTGTTGTAAAGGTGCTGTTCATGTTTACATCAAACAATGTGTTGTATTGATAATGTGTTGAATATATTGAATTAAACATTGAATGCTGAATATAATCCGTTTTCCTTGTATATACAGCTTGGCCACCAAAGTTGTCATTCATACATAATGAAGAAACATCTAAGCCGTCGAAGGCGAGAACTCCCATGTGCACCATAGTCACCGGAAATGGATTTCACACATAAAACAGCAGAATATATATACATCACCAGCACAACAATCTCCACACGTGCTTGTAGTGCTGTTGTCGCTGACAGTGTCAATGTCACGCAAGAGGAGTTGCTTCTGTGTCAAGAAAATTCGATCTTATATCCGCTCATCCATATAATTGATACTTTACTCTTGGTCCCGTAAAAGAACACATGCTATTTTTGATAACAAGTACAATGGCCACAGTACAAATAATCTGGAATCCTTGATATGTACACTCCATGAAGTAAATAGATGTCTGCTTCTCCATTAATATGTCTGGAAGCAGGGAATTCTTCCGTTGCACGTTGTCCAAAAACATGTTGTCCAGCACTCAAACCATACATCACCAGTACATTCAGATTTACCTATACCACCCTGTCGTATCTGAAAAAAAGTATTTAATACAATAATGGATTCTTACTTTACAAAAGTTTCGAGACTATCGTTCCAATTCACAAGAAAGGTTCAGTGACAGGTGTTACGCTCACCAGCATATGATGTTTATCCTCCATACGCTTATAGATAGGTATGTTCAACGTAAACTTGGAAAATTGTAGGCTACATTTGTAGACCGTAGAGGCAAGTTGTGGTATCTATTTAATTCACATGGTGTCAGTAATAAAATTGGCAAATTGTTATGTTGTGTGTATAAGTAAGTTAAGTCGTGTGTCAAAAAGACGACACGTCTTCAGATTCTTTTATCTGGCTCACTGGTGTATTAAGGATGTGTATTAAGACCCTTTTCTGTTTTGTTTATTAATGAGATTGCAGCTCAAATCAAAATAAATTATGATGATGGTACACAATTCATGTTCTCAAGTACAGTAAAAGGTTTACAAACATTAACAAATGAGCCAGAATTGTACAGTGATACGTGGAAACTAATGTCAATTTGGATAAGGCAAAACATTGTTGTATTTAGCAAAGGAAATACGCTGCCAAAGAATGGAAAGGGTACTTTTTGGGACATTTACTTCAAACTGAAACCTTTTATAAATATCTTGGTGTAATATTTTCAAGTAAATTATCATAGAGCCCACATATGTGTAATGCAGCCATCCAAGCTAAAAAGATGTTATTTTCTCTCACGGTTCGGAAATATGGGGCTTTGCAGAGGCAAAGAAATTGAATCCGTACATATTTCGTGTGTAAAAGATTACTTGGTGTTCATCATAGTATTTTGACATGTACTTTCAAACATAGAGATCTACTGTAGATGTTTCTAGCAAATGAGAATATTATAGAGATTTTAAAATACAACTATTTCGCAGAAATGTCTTTAAGTGATGTAAATGTAAGAAAATTATCTTTAGCACAATTTAGATGCAGCTCACACAGGTTAAAAGTTGACAGTCACAAAAAATACCAAATGTTTAAGATTATGTAAACAATGTTCCTTGCTTGTATGTTGTAAATATGACAATTTAAGGGGAAAAATATTGAACAAAAATACTGTGTACATACAAATAAATACAAGTTTATCCCTTTAATGTCACATGTGAGCAAAACGACTATACGAACTCTGTCTCTATTTATATATTATGCCATGTTATTAAGAAATGAATCCTTGTAACATTTGTAACCGCTTCCACATTGTCATGTTTTGTATGCTATGTTCCCGTGGCCTTACAGTTATATGTAAATGTTAATATATAAATAAACTGAATAATAGTACCTATCGCTTTCTATCAGCCCCATCTTAGTTAATCAGAACAACATTGAATGCAATCGCATATGACCAATATAATACGCCGTGGACAATCTCGATATATTTTTTTGCAGTCAGCGTTTGTACACTGAGTCAAGCAAATTCGGACATAATATCTACGCACCAATGAATTGGTTATTTTACTGTTGGGCCTGTTACTAACACGTACACATATATTTCATGACGATGACGACAGTATACATAATCTGGAATCGGTGACAGGAACACTGTATGAAGATACGGTTAGGTCTTCATCTCCGGCTGGAAGCCACGGAATATCTCGTGTGATGCCAAACAGATATACAATGATATCCGTAAGATTTAAAATGAAATCCTTGCATTTTTTTAAATATACATTAACGAGATGACACACAATCAACCAAGTCTCCGATCCCGACCACCCGATCCACTTAGTCGCCTCTTACGGCAGACATAGGATAATTGGGGCCGATTCGAATCCCAGAATTCCCACTGGGTTGAAAGGAAAGACCAGGGCGGTTTCAAGAGACACTGATTGGTTGATTTATGCGACGAGACGTGTGACACGTGAACCTGCTTCATTGACAGGAAAAACTTATTTGTTGATTTATGCGACAATTAGACCGGATACTCAGAAACCGCAGACACTGACTGGTTGATTTCGATGATAAGCTGAACACAAACTCACTTTACACAGACACTGATTGGTTGACGCCCGCGATAGTTAGAAGCGATACTCAGAAGACACTGATTGGTTGATTTCGATGACGAGTAGAACACTGACACTGGCTGCATAAATACTTACTATAGTTATTTGCTACAACCAAACGTGGCCCAGTAAGTAAATATAAGCACGTAGAGCAGCCGACAGTTAACTTTGAAAGGAAATCTGGGCTTTATATGCCTGCTTGAAACAGTGGTCAACACTCCAGTTCGCAGCCTACATTGAGACATAAGGATAGATTTAGATACAGAATAAGACGTTCGTACTGAAACAAAATTCACGCTAAATACCCGTTACGTATTTGAAGATGGCAACCCAATTTCAAGATGGTAAGTAAAAAATAAATAACTTTTCTTGAGTAGGGGCTTTCTTTTGACATGTTGAACTACATGTATAAACAATATTTTGGTTCACAACCTAAGAACTGCAAATTGATTAATGAATTTCCCTGTCTGATTCCATTATAAAACCGTATAACAGATTATTAATAATATATTTTGTTACATGACTCGAATTACATTGGTAATTGGCAGAAAAAAATATTTCGGGTAGACAAAACTTCATAAGAAAATTGCAAGTTGAATAATAACTAATGTTATATGTACTTTGTATTTCTAGGCAGCAGCAACAATCGCTACCGCTCAAAGTGTCCAGGCCCCCTCTCTCTACAGTCATCACAGCGTTTCCAGCCCTACCAGAGACCCTCTCACTCACTCAGGTAAGTTGCATTGGCCATGAATGAAATTTATTCCGATTATATTCTCTATGTTTTATTATATACTATCAATATAAGGCATATACTATTCTCCAAAAGACAAAATTTCGGGAACACGCTCATGTAACAGTAACTCCTATTTATTGTCTTTTTATGGTTCCAGATTTGCTCCAAAGTCCGACTGTGTTTCCCCACTAGTCCAGACCAGAGACTACGTCCCAACCCCTCCCTGTCCCGCCCCAGGAACCTGGGCCAACACCTTCAGCTTCGACGACTACAGCACAAAAGTGTGGGCAACGGACATGTTCCATCAACAGCGGCTCCAGGTGCAGACTGCGTTGATCCAAAGAGAGATCCTGATGTCGACCCCTGGTATCAACCCCTACCCGAGTTGTACTTACACCCCACGAGCCTCCACACCCATTACTCCATACGGGGTCTACGACAACCTCGCCCATAGCATCATGAAGGAAGAGTGCGACACCGGCTACTTCAGCTCGTCCGACATCTCCAGAGTGACTCCAGATGGCGACATCGCCGACGACGTCCTTGACAGCAGGCCGGATTCACCCAGCAGTGACATGTCAGAGAAACGACCTGTTGAAAACACCGTGTTCGCCACACCAGTCATACCCGATTACAAACCAGAATTCACCAGCTTGCCGATCATACCACAGATTGTCCCAGAGATCTTCAAGGTCAACCCAGAGGTCAACCATGAGGTCCACACTAGTTCAAACCACAAACACAAAAATGCAAGTCTCCAAACCTCAGATCCTTCTTCCTACACTCTCGAGTCTCTACCCAAGAAGAAGCCTCACCAAGAACCGGGCAACTACGAGTGTCTGACTTGTGGGAAAGTGTTTGCATGGAAGACTGGTCTTGTGACCCACAAGCGTGTACATACCGGTGAACGACCCTACAAGTGCCCAGTCTGTCCTAAAGCCTTCAGCGACTACTCCACATACAGCAAGCACTGCCGCATCCACTCCGGCCACAAGCCCTACAGTTGCGACGTCTGTGGCAAAGCCTTCACTCAGTCAGGTAACAGACTGAGGCATATGAGGACTGTACACAAGGTTACTCTGTAAACCTTCGCTCTGTAAATCACCAGTGCTATCTGTTTCTACTGTATACTACGAGTGCTACAAATGTCATGTTGAGATAAGTGCTGCCCATGTGATAATGAGCTCATCTGCATATGCATAATGACATGATGCGAGAGATTATGACGTTCAATGTTTTCGTCATTGTTATACTGTGTTTAAACGTGTTGTAAAGGTGCTGTTCATGTTTACATCAAACAATGTGTTGTATTGATAATGTGTTGAATATATTGAATTAAACATTGAATGCTGAATATAATCCGTTTTCCTTGTATATACAGCTTGGCCACCAAAGTTGTCATTCATACATAATGAAGAAACATCTAAGCCGTCGAAGGCGAGAACTCCCATGTGCACCATAGTCACCGGAAATGGATTTCACACATAAAACAGCAGAATATATATACATCACCAGCACAACAATCTCCACACGTGCTTGTAGTGCTGTTGTCGCTGACAGTGTCAATGTCACGCAAGAGGAGTTGCTTCTGTGTCAAGAAAATTCGATCTTATATCCGCTCATCCATATAATTGATACTTTACTCTTGGTCCCGTAAAAGAACACATGCTATTTTTGATAACAAGTACAATGGCCACAGTACAAATAATCTGGAATCCTTGATATGTACACTCCATGAAGTAAATAGATGTCTGCTTCTCCATTAATATGTCTGGAAGCAGGGAATTCTTCCGTTGCACGTTGTCCAAAAACATGTTGTCCAGCACTCAAACCATACATCACCAGTACATTCAGATTTACCTATACCACCCTGTCGTATCTGAAAAAAAGTATTTAATACAATAATGGATTCTTACTTTACAAAAGTTTCGAGACTATCGTTCCAATTCACAAGAAAGGTTCAGTGACAGGTGTTACGCTCACCAGCATATGATGTTTATCCTCCATACGCTTATAGATAGGTATGTTCAACGTAAACTTGGAAAATTGTAGGCTACATTTGTAGACCGTAGAGGCAAGTTGTGGTATCTATTTAATTCACATGGTGTCAGTAATAAAATTGGCAAATTGTTATGTTGTGTGTATAAGTAAGTTAAGTCGTGTGTCAAAAAGACGACACGTCTTCAGATTCTTTTATCTGGCTCACTGGTGTATTAAGGATGTGTATTAAGACCCTTTTCTGTTTTGTTTATTAATGAGATTGCAGCTCAAATCAAAATAAATTATGATGATGGTACACAATTCATGTTCTCAAGTACAGTAAAAGGTTTACAAACATTAACAAATGAGCCAGAATTGTACAGTGATACGTGGAAACTAATGTCAATTTGGATAAGGCAAAACATTGTTGTATTTAGCAAAGGAAATACGCTGCCAAAGAATGGAAAGGGTACTTTTTGGGACATTTACTTCAAACTGAAACCTTTTATAAATATCTTGGTGTAATATTTTCAAGTAAATTATCATAGAGCCCACATATGTGTAATGCAGCCATCCAAGCTAAAAAGATGTTATTTTCTCTCACGGTTCGGAAATATGGGGCTTTGCAGAGGCAAAGAAATTGAATCCGTACATATTTCGTGTGTAAAAGATTACTTGGTGTTCATCATAGTATTTTGACATGTACTTTCAAACATAGAGATCTACTGTAGATGTTTCTAGCAAATGAGAATATTATAGAGATTTTAAAATACAACTATTTCGCAGAAATGTCTTTAAGTGATGTAAATGTAAGAAAATTATCTTTAGCACAATTTAGATGCAGCTCACACAGGTTAAAAGTTGACAGTCACAAAAAATACCAAATGTTTAAGATTATGTAAACAATGTTCCTTGCTTGTATGTTGTAAATATGACAATTTAAGGGGAAAAATATTGAACAAAAATACTGTGTACATACAAATAAATACAAGTTTATCCCTTTAATGTCACATGTGAGCAAAACGACTATACGAACTCTGTCTCTATTTATATATTATGCCATGTTATTAAGAAATGAATCCTTGTAACATTTGTAACCGCTTCCACATTGTCATGTTTTGTATGCTATGTTCCCGTGGCCTTACAGTTATATGTAAATGTTAATATATAAATAAACTGAATAATAGTACCTATCGCTTTCTATCAGCCCCATCTTAGTTAATCAGAACAACATTGAATGCAATCGCATATGACCAATATAATACGCCGTGGACAATCTCGATATATTTTTTTGCAGTCAGCGTTTGTACACTGAGTCAAGCAAATTCGGACATAATATCTACGCACCAATGAATTGGTTATTTTACTGTTGGGCCTGTTACTAACACGTACACATATATTTCATGACGATGACGACAGTATACATAATCTGGAATCGGTGACAGGAACACTGTATGAAGATACGGTTAGGTCTTCATCTCCGGCTGGAAGCCACGGAATATCTCGTGTGATGCCAAACAGATATACAATGATATCCGTAAGATTTAAAATGAAATCCTTGCATTTTTTTAAATATACATTAACGAGATGACACACAATCAACCAAGTCTCCGATCCCGACCACCCGATCCACTTAGTCGCCTCTTACGGCAGACATAGGATAATTGGGGCCGATTCGAATCCCAGAATTCCCACTGGGTTGAAAGGAAAGACCAGGGCGGTTTCAAGAGACACTGATTGGTTGATTTATGCGACGAGACGTGTGACACGTGAACCTGCTTCATTGACAGGAAAAACTTATTTGTTGATTTATGCGACAATTAGACCGGATACTCAGAAACCGCAGACACTGACTGGTTGATTTCGATGATAAGCTGAACACAAACTCACTTTACACAGACACTGATTGGTTGACGCCCGCGATAGTTAGAAGCGATACTCAGAAGACACTGATTGGTTGATTTCGATGACGAGTAGAACACTGACACTGGCTGCATAAATACTTACTATAGTTATTTGCTACAACCAAACGTGGCCCAGTAAGTAAATATAAGCACGTAGAGCAACCGACAGTTAACTTTGAAAGGAAATCTGGGCTTTATATGCCTGCTTGAAACAGTGGTCAACACTCCAGTTCGCAGCCTACATTGAGACATAAGGATAGATTTAGATACAGAATAAGACGTTCGTACTGAAACAAAATTCACGCTAAATACCCGTTACGTATTTGAAGATGGCAACCCAATTTCAAGATGGTAAGTAAAAAATAAATAACTTTTCTTGAGTAGGGGCTTTCTTTTGACATGTTGAACTACATGTATAAACAATATTTTGGTTCACAACCTAAGAACTGCAAATTGATTAATGAATTTCCCTGTCTGATTCCATTATAAAACCGTATAACAGATTATTAATAATATATTTTGTTACATGACTCGAATTACATTGGTAATTGGCAGAAAAAAATATTTCGGGTAGACAAAACTTTACCCGCATTACAAACCACCCTCAATCTAAACAAGGCTCTAACTCTAGAAGCAATACTAAACCCACAAAATAAACTAGAAAACTTCAAGGCCTTAGGCGTATTCTTAATCAAAACGGAACTAATAAAACGCATCTAAAACCACAATAACCTACCAAATCAAAATCACATAAACAAACAAACATCCACCATACCCAGCTCCCTTAGTTCTCCTCCCCAATCCCATCGGCATCTATTCCAAATCTCAAAATTCCCAAATTCTATATAAGCAACCCCTAAAATCCCCCTCTTGGGTTGCACAGACCACTTTCGCCCCTTTCGGAAACACATTAAATGGCCTGGCCGGGCCCGTGTGCGAAATACGCATCAGTCGGAAAGCGCACGTTAAATCTCCAAAGTAAGTAAGTAAGTAAGTACAACCAAACGTGGCCCAGTAAGTAAATATAAGCACGTAGAGCAACCGACAGTTAACTTTGAAAGGAAATCTGGGCTTTATATGCCTGCTTGAAGGATAGATTTAGATACAGAATAAGACGTTCGTACTGAAACAAAATTCACGCTAAATACCCGTTACGTATTTGAAGATGGCAACCCAATTTGTTACATGACTCGAATTACATTGGTAATTGGCAGAAAAAAATATTTCGGGTAGACAAAACTTCATAAGAAAATTGCAAGTTGAATAATAACTAATGTTATATGTACTTTGTATTTCTAGGCAGCAGCAACAATCGCTACCGCTCAAAGTGTCCAGGCCCCCTCTCTCTACAGTCATCACAGCGTTTCCAGCCCTACCAGAGACCCTCTCACTCACTCAGGTAAGTTGCATTGGCCATGAATGAAATTTATTCCGATTATATTCTCTATGTTTTATTATATACTATCAATATAAGGCATATACTATTCTCCAAAAGACAAAATTTCGGGAACACGCTCATGTAACAGTAACTCCTATTTATTGTCTTTTTATGGTTCCAGATTTGCTCCAAAGTCCGACTGTGTTTCCCCACTAGTCCAGACCAGAGACTACGTCCCAACCCCTCCCTGTCCCGCCCCAGGAACCTGGGCCAACACCTTCAGCTTCGACGACTACAGCACAAAAGTGTGGGCAACGGACATGTTCCATCAACAGCGGCTCCAGGTGCAGACTGCGTTGATCCAAAGAGAGATCCTGATGTCGACCCCTGGTATCAACCCCTACCCGAGTTGTACTTACACCCCACGAGCCTCCACACCCATTACTCCATACGGGGTCTACGACAACCTCGCCCATAGCATCATGAAGGAAGAGTGCGACACCGGCTACTTCAGCTCGTCCGACATCTCCAGAGTGACTCCAGATGGCGACATCGCCGACGACGTCCTTGACAGCAGGCCGGATTCACCCAGCAGTGACATGTCAGAGAAACGACCTGTTGAAAACACCGTGTTCGCCACACCAGTCATACCCGATTACAAACCAGAATTCACCAGCTTGCCGATCATACCACAGATTGTCCCAGAGATCTTCAAGGTCAACCCAGAGGTCAACCATGAGGTCCACACTAGTTCAAACCACAAACACAAAAATGCAAGTCTCCAAACCTCAGATCCTTCTTCCTACACTCTCGAGTCTCTACCCAAGAAGAAGCCTCACCAAGAACCGGGCAACTACGAGTGTCTGACTTGTGGGAAAGTGTTTGCATGGAAGACTGGTCTTGTGACCCACAAGCGTGTACATACCGGTGAACGACCCTACAAGTGCCCAGTCTGTCCTAAAGCCTTCAGCGACTACTCCACATACAGCAAGCACTGCCGCATCCACTCCGGCCACAAGCCCTACAGTTGCGACGTCTGTGGCAAAGCCTTCACTCAGTCAGGTAACAGACTGAGGCATATGAGGACTGTACACAAGGTTACTCTGTAAACCTTCGCTCTGTAAATCACCAGTGCTATCTGTTTCTACTGTATACTACGAGTGCTACAAATGTCATGTTGAGATAAGTGCTGCCCATGTGATAATGAGCTCATCTGCATATGCATAATGACATGATGCGAGAGATTATGACGTTCAATGTTTTCGTCATTGTTATACCGTGTTTAAACGTGTTGTAAAGGTGCTGTTCATGTTTACATCAAACAATGTGTTGTATTGATAATGTGTTGAATATATTGAATTAAACATTGAATGCTGAATATAATCCGTTTTCCTTGTATATACAGCTTGGTCACCAAAGTTGTCATTCATACATAATGAAGAAACTATCTAAGCCGTCGAAGGCGAGAACTCCCATGTGCACCATAGTCACCGGAAATGGATTTCACACATAAAGTAGCAGAATATATATACATCACCAGCACAACAATCTCCACACGTGCTTGTAGTGCTGTTGTCGCTGACAGTGTCAATGTCACGCGAGAGGAGTTGCTTCTGTGTCAAGAAAATTCGATCTTATATCCGCTCATCCATATAATTGATACTTTACTCTTGGTCCCGTAAAAGAACACATGCTATTTTTGATAACAAGTACAATGGCCACAGTACAAATAATCTGGAATCCTTGATATGTACACTCCATGAAGTAAATAAATGGCTGCTTCTCCATTAATATGTCTGGAAGCAGGGAATTCTTCCGTTGCACGTTGTCCAAAAACATGTTGTCCAGCACTCAAACCATACATCACCAGTACATTCAGATTTACCTATACCACCCTGTCGTATCTGAAAAAAGTATTTAATACAATAATGGATTCTTACTTTACAAAAGTTAAGAGACTATCGTTCCCATTCACAAGAAAGGTTCAGTGACAGGTGTTACGCTCACCAGCATATGATGTTTATCCTCCATACGCTTATAGATAGGTATGTTCAACGTAAACTTGGAAAATTGTAGGCTACATTTGTAGACCGTAGAGGCAAGTTGTGGTATCTATTTAATTCACATGGTGTCAGTAATAAAATTGGCAAATTGTTATGTTGTGTGTATAAGTAAGTTAAGTCGTGTGTCAAACAAGACGACACGTCTTCAGATTCTTTTATCTGGCTCACTGGTGTATTAAGGATGTGTATTAAGACCCTTTTCTGTTTTGTTTATTAATGAGATTGCAGCTCAAATCAAAATAAATTATGATGATGGTACACAATTCATGTTCTCAAGTACAGTTAAAGGTTTACAAACATTGACAAATGAGCCAGAATTGTACAGTGATACGTGGAAACTAATGTCAATTTGGATAAGGCAAAACATTGTTGTATTTAGCAAGGAAAATATGCTGCCAAAGATTGAAAAGTGGTACTTTTTGGGACATTTACTTCAAACTGAAACCTTTTATAAATATCTTGGTGTAATATTTTCAAGTAAATTATCATAGAGCCCACATATGTGTAATGCAGCCATCCAAGCTAAAAAGATGTTATTTTCTCTCACGGTTCGGAAATATGGGGCTTTGCAGAGGCAAAGAAATTGAATCCGTACATTTTTCGTGTGTAAAAGATTACTTGGTGTTAAACATAGTACTTCTAATGTAATGTTTTTTTGGTGAAAGTGGTCGGAAACTGAATAATACTACCTATCGCTTTCTATCAGCCCAATGTTAGTTAATCAGAACCACATTGAATGCACTTGGATATGACCAATATAATACGCCGTGGACAATCTCGATATTTTTTTACAGTCAGCCTTTGTACACTGAGTCAAGCAAATTCGGGCATATATCTACGCACCAATGAGTTGGTTATTTTACTGTTGGGCCTGTAACTAACACGTACAAATATATTTCATTACAATGACGACAGTATGCATAATCTGGAATCCGTGACAGGAACACTGTATGAAGATACTGTTCTTCATCTCCGGCTGGAAGCCACGAAAAATCTCGTGTGATGCCAAACAGATATAAAATGATATCCGTAAGATTTAAAATGAAATCCTTGCATTTTTTAAATATATATTAACGACATGGGTACATCAAGCTATTAGCAGAACTATATGATAATGCACCAGAATAATTATATAAGTGGGTTTCCAGTTATTGTCTCTTAGTATGCTGATAATAGACACGGATAACAAAAATAAACCGTGACGTTATATTGATAACAATTTGTTAAAAAATATTGGTCGTTTTCCTAGCCAACGTTTTGGTGTTAGCTTCCCATGAAGCGTATTACAATATAAGTCCCATGCACGCTGTCGGGGTAAACAATGACACACAATCAACCAAGTCTCCGATCTGACCACCCGATCCACTTAGTCGCCTCTTACGGCAGACATAGGATAATTGGGGCCGATTCGAATCCCAGAATTCCCACTGGGTTGAAAGGAAGACCAGGGCGGTTTCAAGAGACACTGATTGGTTGATTTATGCGACGAGACGTGTGACGCGTGAACCTGCTTCAATGACAGGAAAAACTTATTTGTTGATTTATGCGACAATTAGACCGGATACTCAGAAACCGCAGACACTGATTGGTGGATTTCGATGATAAGCTGAACACAAACTCACTTTACACAGACACTGATTGGTTGACGCCCGCGATAGTTAGAACCGATACTCAAGAGACACTGATTGGTTGATTTCGATGACGAGTAGAACACTGACAATGGCTGCATAAATACTTACTATAGTTATTTGCTACAACCAAACCCCTAAGATGCCTAACTGGCTCTAACTGGGGAGCATCCAAAGATACCCTCCTCTCTGTCTACATATTTCTAATTAGATCAAAACTAGACTACGGCTGCGCCATATACAACACCCTAAACAACTCTCTATCTAAAAAACTTGACTCAATACAATATCAGGCTCTCAAACTAATTACACGCACCCAACATGGCACCTCCTACACCTCACTTCAGGCCTTAACAGGAGAAATGCCACTAAGTCTACGCAGGGAACAGCTAAGCTTAAATTTCTGGGCCGCGTCCCAATCAAACCCTCTCATCCAAAACTTAATAAACCAAAACATCAGCCCCAAAAACCAAGCTCTAGCTCGTAAACACCCCTTACTTACCCCAATATCCCAAAGAATAACAAACTACCTAAATGAACACCAAATTAAAAATCTTAAACAAAACTGCAAACAATCAAATATCTTCACCCCTAAACTTAAAATACCCAAAATAGACACAACACTAGCTAGCCAAATAAATAAACAAACCGACCCAAACATAGCTAAAACTACCACACTAGCATACATACACGAAAATTGGCCAAATTGGTGTCACATTTACACGGACGGATCCTCAGATCCGACCTCAAAACACACAGGTTTCGGAGTCCATACCACACAACCAACTAAAACCACACAATCCTTCCGACTCCCAAACAACCAATCAATATTCACGGCAGAACTAATGGGCATGGCCTCAGCCCTCCATAATCAAGAATCCAAAAAAACACAAAAAAATCCTAATACTTACCGACTCCCTAAGTGGACTGCAAGCCCTCCAAAACAAAAATACCAAAAACCGACCTAAATTAATAAATCAAATACTTAAAAGCTCCAACGACCTAACTAAGGCAGGCAAACAAATAACCTTCTTGTGGATACTCGCCCATGTAGGAATATACGGTAATGAAAACGCCGATAAAGCAGCTAAACTATCCCTCAAAATCCCAGAAATAAGCTTAAACTTACCCATCTCAAAATCAGAAATTAAAAGTGTAAACAACCAAAAAATGGCATAACCTATATCTAAACTCAAATAGCCAAATCAAAAAAGTGCTCAGCAAACCACTAACCAAACCAAAAATTCTCCATCCATCCAAAAAAATCGACAGAGTAATCACTAAACTCCAAACAGGACACACCAACCGAAATAACCACCTAAATTTAAAAAACAAACAAACTACAGGTAACTGCCCACACTGCAAACAACCAGAAACCCCAGAACACGCGCTCATTCACTGCACACACTACCTAACACATCGAACCGCATTACAAACCACCCTCAATCTAAACAAGGCTCTAACTCTAGAAGCAATACTAAACCCACAAAATAAACTAGAAAACTTCAAGGCCTTAGGCGTATTCTTAATCAAAACGGAACTAATAAAACGCATCTAAAACCACAATAACCTACCAAATCAAAATCACATAAACAAACAAACATCCACCATACCCAGCTCCCTTAGTTCTCCTCCCCAATCCCATCGGCATCTATTCCAAATCTCAAAATTCCCAAATTCTATATAAGCAACCCCTAAAATCCCCCTCTTGGGTTGCACAGACCACTTTCGCCCCTTTCGGAAACACATTAAATGGCCTGGCCGGGCCCGTGTGCGAAATACGCATCAGTCGGAAAGCGCACGTTAAATCTCCAAAGTAAGTAAGTAAGTAAGTACAACCAAACGTGGCCCAGTAAGTAAATATAAGCACGTAGAGCAACCGACAGTTAACTTTGAAAGGAAATCTGGGCTTTATATGCCTGCTTGAAACAGTGGTCAACACTCCAGTTCGCAGCCTACATTGAGACATAAGGATAGATTTAGATACAGAATAAGACGTTCGTACTGAAACAAAATTCACGCTAAATACCCGTTACGTATTTGAAGATGGCAACCCAATTTGTTACATGACTCGAATTACATTGGTAATTGGCAGAAAAAAATATTTCGGGTAGACAAAACTTCATAAGAAAATTGCAAGTTGAATAATAACTAATGTTATATGTACTTTGTATTTCTAGGCAGCAGCAACAATCGCTACCGCTCAAAGTGTCCAGGCCCCCTCTCTCTACAGTCATCACAGCGTTTCCAGCCCTACCAGAGACCCTCTCACTCACTCAGGTAAGTTGCATTGGCCATGAATGAAATTTATTCCGATTATATTCTCTATGTTTTATTATATACTATCAATATAAGGCATATACTATTCTACAAAAGACAAAATTTCGGGAACACGCTCATGTAACAGTAACTCCTATTTATTGTCTTTTTATGGTTCCAGATTTGCTCCAAAGTCCGACTGTGTTTCCCC